CCTTCACCCACCCGCCGGCGCCCGCGGAGCAGCGCCTCTCGGCCGCGCTGCCCAATCAGCGGCCGCGAGGGGCCCTGGCACCGCCCCCGCCTGCTCGCTCCGCGGCGCCCCGCCTTAAAGGATCCAGGCCGGGGGCGGTGGGGAGGGGACGTCCCCGCCCACTGACGGCGCCTTTCCCCGGGCTGGGGTTCTGAGTGCCCCGCGTCTCGCTGAAGATTCCCTCCTCCGGGAGAGCCCTTCTCCTCCTGCCCCTTCGCTAGCGCCTCCTCGTCTTCCAAGCAGCCCCAGCTGTCCTCCAAAAAGCCTTCCCTGACCACCAGTGCCTCCTCCGACCCCTGCAGAGCCCTGGAGACTTGGCTGGTCTCCTCTTACTCGAGAGCAAGCGGCACTGGTCAGGAGGGGCCTCCATTCACGGTGCACAGGACAGAGCCTGGCTCGTAGTAGGCATTCAGAGACTGTTGTCTTGACGACTGAATAAATGTGCTCAGGACCTGGTCTCTGGGAGAACTGGGCCGGTCTCACCCTTCCTTCCCTCACCTCGGATGGGAATGGGGGGTCACGCATCCTCTTCCTCACCATCCTCCTCCGGGACCTTCTCGGAGGAGGGTTAACCAAGCCTGCCCAGTTCAGAGCCCCGCCCTAAGAAGTCTCGTGAACATTGACCATTGCACACCAGCTGTGATCCTGTCCTTCGGGTTACCGGGAAATCCACTTAGATGGAGGGAAACTGATTCAGCCGTAAGTGTCAGTCACAGCTTTGAGCTGGAGAGCACTTCTGTTCCCATCAGGCCAGGCACTCCCTAGGTGTCAAAAAGCAAATAGCAAACCAATTCAGGCCAGTGCGTATCTAATCTGAAGTCAGAAGAGGAAACATCAGCAACTGTCCAAGCACCACACCTCAGAAAAGCAGAACACGGGGGCTCAGGTTCAGTTGGGGTGCACCCCAGGAAGTGAGCACCCTGACAGCGGGGGCACAGCAGAGAGAAACTTGGTCTGGGTCTGGGGACCTCAGGGGAGTTCAGGGAGGAGGCAAGTTTGAGCCATGCCTTCGGGCCAGAGATTCCCTTTGTCAGCCCAGAGCATCTGGATGCCTTCTTCAGGCAGCGGTGAGGTGTTTAAAGGCTTGGTCTCAATCTGGGCACTTCGCCTCACTAAGTGTGGGACCTTAGTCACTTTAATCCGTGCCTCATCTGTAAGTGTTACTAACACCTGACACACAGGGACATAAGCATTCCAATGAGTTAATCTGGACAAAGGGCTTGGCACAGTACCTGACCCATAGCAAGTTGAAGCACTCAATAAATATTAGACTTTGGTATTAGACTTTATGTTTATTCTTGAGTTTCTTTTGTATGTGGTTGAATGGCAAGTGATTATTGAGTTTCGCATGCCAGGTGCTCTATAAAACCCTTTATACCGAGGAGGCCATTTGACAGCCTTGAGACCAGTGATGAGAAAGATCGAGATGGTTTACAAGTTAGTTCTGCTTTCCAAAAAATCCCAATTTATGAAACTCAGGGTACACAAAGGATAAAGGGTTAACTTTTACTAGCTTTCTAAAAGAGTATGTAAATTTTAAATAGAGAACTTGCCATTTACTCAGTCCACAATCTCATTTTGAGACTATTCAGAGAAAACGCAGACTACAAATCTCTTAACTCTTGGTGTCACAAGTTGCTGATACATACAATTTTAAAAATAGTGACAGGAATTTGTTTTAGGTCGAAAATGAAAAAAGACCAAAGAATTAAATTCAGTTAGTGAAATAGTTAAAACCAGAGGGATAATTCTGTCTTCTAAATCGTTTTCAGGAAAAATAGACAGAGGCTCAAGATCTGAGTGGTAGGTACTGTGCTAGGTCCTGGGGATACAAAGATTTGCAACAAAACACAAAAGCCAGATCTGGAAAGATAAATGTGTGAAAGAGGTGCCCGAGCAACACTGACTGCCGACTGTATGACCCCCAACTGTATGACCCCCGAAGAACACTTTTGATTGGTCTTCTCCTCCACTCAAGAATACAATGCTTAAAAACCAAATGCATTTACACATTTGAAGTTCATTCCTTCATTTTTATTTCTGTATCAAAATAATAGAACTGCGCACATGGGCTATTCCCGCAGGTTACCAAATTCAGTTGATCTAATTCCACTAAAAGCACAGAAACTCCAAGCTTCTTCTGTCCATGTAGCCTTACTAACGGTACATTAGGTGTACAAGCTCAGAAGTTTACATCAAAAGGAACAAACTTCTGTGGGTGTCAGCCATCTCCTGGGGAAGCCAACCTCGTTCCGCTCAGGACCACAGCCTAAAACAGCCATCGCCGCATCATTATATGCCCCATTTATCTAATGCTACATTTATGACAACACAGCTCTCGGGAGCCACTGGGTAGAGAACTTCAACCATCAATGATTCACTTTTGCAGGAAGACCAAAGAAGTCATCTATATTAAGCAGGGGAAGGAATGACACAAAAGGCAGTCTAGGGTTGTGGGGTGATGATCTGTGAACATGTTAGGGCACAGTGCCATGCTATGGTATTTCCGGATGAGTCAATGACAATTACTAAATCATACAGGTGAGAGCTTGCTATCACCATCTTCCCTTTTCTCTAAAATCCCAGAATCTGGTACTGGAGTTGCCAGCTGACGAATGTGAGTGGGATGTAACATCACATCATTTTGAAGCCACTCTCCAACTACAGGACTGAAAACCGGAGCCAAGATAGAGAGCTTGGAACAGGCCTCAGCACAGCATCTCATCCACACCTGGTTTTTACAGCACACGTTTCCATCTGTTTCCTCAGTAATGCCTTCCCATGTTGGTAGTTACTTTCAATCTTGAGCACCATTGTTCTGTTCTCTCGGGTTTGTCCTAATGGTTGTCCCTGCGACTTAACCCCTAGATAGTCCCCCCAAAATGTGACCTAGAATGGAAATTTAAAAAAAATTCTTAGATGTGTTATGGGTTGAATTGTGTCCCTACCTCCCATAATTAGTATGCAATAGTCCTGGCAAATGTGACTGTATTTGGAGATGAATCAATAAAGAGGTAATTAAATAAAAATGAGGTCATTAGAGTGGACCTTACTCCACTATGACCAGTGTCCCTGTAAGAGGAGGAAATTTGGACACAGATGCATACAGGGGGAAGACGATATGAAGACACAGGGAGAAGATGGCCACCCACGAGCCAAGGAGAAACGAATTAACCCTGCTGACACCTTGATCTTGGACTTTTAGAATCCAGAACTGTGAGAAAATAAATCGCTGTTGTTTAAGCCCGGTCTGTTGTACTTTGCTATGGCAGGCTGAGTAGCCTGATACAGTGATTACATTCTTTTTTATCCATTCAAAAAGCAGACGGCAGCACTGTAGGCCAGGTTCCGCTTCCCGGTGCATTCTAGTTGGCAGAAAGTGGGGAGGGTACAGGATCCGAGAAATGTTATCTAGTTCAAGTCTCTCACCTTTCCAGTTGAGAAGCAGAAGGTTAAGTGACTTGCCTGGGGTTGTACTGTTCATTCGAAAGGGGACACAGACGGCAGGCGACTCGGCGCTGAGGGTCACGGGTAGGGCAGTGCTTCTCATTTTCCGAGAATGATTGTGCACTCCCTGGGGATCACCTGGCAGTGCCCAAAGTTCTGCTGCTGCTGCTTTAGTTCTAGGAAATCTCGTTTTATCTTATTAACTCCTGTGGACTTAGCACTCCCTTCCATTTGTTTCAATATTGCCATGAACATAATGGCATTCCCTCTCTTAAATACTTTTTGGAATAGAATATGTGCCCCAGAAATATGCACTATGATTATCTTGTTGCTATCTGTACCCCATTCCAGAAGCAGAACAGGGAATCGTTCCTAGTACTTCTCCAACTGAAAAGTACAGGTCTCAAGAGGACCCATCCTCAGAAACACTTGTTAGAGACTTTGTTGCCAGAGGCAAATAAAACAGGAGTCTTGGGATACGTTTCAGAAAGTAAAGGAAGGCAGAGAGTATCGAATACTAAAATAACGTCCATGTTGAAAACCAGAAACTGGTAATAGCATTTAGTAAAGAAAAAGATTGCACATTGAGTAGAAGTTTCGCCTGTAGTCCCTCACTTCATCCACAGCCAGCTGAGGGCCCAGGTCGGGCCCAGCTGCCTCGGCGCCTGGTAGCTCCAGCTTCGAAGGCATTCACGTCTCTTGCCCATCTGGTTTCTCTTCTCTCTCGCTCCCTGGCATTTGAAACTCCAAGCTGTATACATTTTTTTTCTTGTTCATCTTTTAACAAATGATGGGTTCTTAGCAGTTTAGAAACCTGACTTTCAAATTTGCTTTAACAACCTGCTAACCATGGCCCCTTAACCTTATGGCAGGATCTCTCCTAACTTGTTGCTGGACATTTTGCTGCCTGAGCTGTCAGTGCACGAAACCGCCAAGGAAGGTGTGGAGGGAAGGCGATTGCAGGGTGGGTGCACATCTGACTCCATCGCTTGTTACATGTTTAATTTGGGGAAATCAGCTACATTTATTTGCTTCTGAAAGTTGAAGATGTCACATATCGAGTATAATTGTGTGGATTCAAGATAGTATGATTAAAGAGTATAGCAATAAGAAACTGTAATGAATGGTAGTTTAAACAGCAAAACTGAATTCTTATTAAATCGGATGTTCTGGCTCATTTATTTAAAAAAAACCAAAATTTCCTAAAATTCTAAACTACTTCAGTAAGCTGAGTGTGGACATGGTTCCATCCTTCTTTGATATTTGATAATCTCACATTGCCTCTGGGTGGTTATTCTAAAATAAAAAAGATTGTGGATTTGAACCCATTTATTTTACAGATGAAGAATTCAAGGCTCAGGGAGATTAAATGGCTTGGCCAAGGTAACAGTGACACAGCCTCCAGGGACCACTGTGCAGGACCTTAGCTACAGATGTTAGGATACTGGGTTGAGTTATGTATGTATTTGAACCATGATTCAATTTCAATTTGGAATTGATAAAGATTTCTTAATTCTATATACTGTACCACAACAAATTTAAGTCACACAAAGTAACATAAGGGATTTAGGTTTGACATAGGAAGAATTTCATCAGAGTAAAAGTTCTCAAACTGTAAAATGGATGAGTAAGAATGTTGTGTAACTTTCTCTCTGGCTTTTAGGAGAGTATCCTTTGGTATTGGGCAAACGAAGCAGACAGAATGAGTGTTAAGAGCAAGGATTTCTAATATTCCATCTCATGATTACTAAGCAGGTATCATGTCCAAAAAATTCAGTTGTCAAGACAACCCCCATTCTGGAATTTCTTAGTGGGCCTCATGGACAAGTTCACAGTTTATTATGGGGGTTAAGAAAGCGGCTCGCTTAACAACATACAAGTTCTAACACAAGCTGTGGCTCTTCGAGGAAAAACTCTCACATTAGCATCCTATAAACTAAGAGAATTTGCCTACAATAGTGAGGAAACCAGAAAGTGTCCCATGGCTAGGATTTGAGAATGACCAAGTACCTGTGCAGTGAATCCTCCCACCCCCCACCCTCCAAAAAACCCCCCAAATTTTAGGGCAGCCTAGCTAACATTTTCCAGTAATCCACAATCTAATTTTAATAGTTCTTACTGAAGCTTAAAAAAGCCATACTGACTCCTATTAGCAAACTTTTTACCCATTCCAAAATCCTCTGCAATCTTAAGGAATTCCTTTCTTTTCTATGAATAATACATTGAGTCATCATTAGGCTGTAGGATAAGGCAAGAATTCAGAAGCTTGAAAAACTGTGAAGGGAAGATGACTGAACAGGGCACCTTAAGATGGCTCTGCCTTCAGAGTGCCTGGGTTTAACTCTGGCTTTGCCATTTACTATGACCTGGAGAAAGTTTCTGAAGCTCATTCTGTGCCTGTTCTCCCTTCTGCAAAATGGGAATAAACAAGGACCATCTTATACAGTTGCTAGGATTAAATGAGAGAATCTATGTACAAAGCCTGATATGTATGAGAAAATCAGTGTTAGCTATTATCATGTTATTGTTTAAGTAATAAAACAAACTTTTAACTGTACTTTATCAAACATATTCAAGGCACCATAAAGGTCTCTCTTTGCTAAACCAAGATTTAATAGCAAATAATGTTTACACATTTATATGCAATATCAAGACAGTTGCAATTTTTAAAAATGGTTGGGAGAGTACCTTTTGAAGTCTTTGATATATCAGCTATTGACAAAACAAATTAGGAAGTTAAAGCTAAGCTAATGAATGTAAAAACAATCCAAGGTAGAAAATTTCTCCAACAGAAAAGGCCATTGAAGAATCTTGTGGAAAATGATAGAAGGAAAGAATATAGTAATAAAGATGGTAGATTATTTTCTTAGAAAGGGAAAACTCAGTGCCATGAGGGATGCTGTTTAGCGACCTCTAGTGGTTTCCAAGGAAATTTCTGTCGAGTAGTTCCTCAGCCAAGAGCTTCACAGTTCCGGCTCTTTAGCCTCAACTCTGCAGAATTGAGTGACCGTCTCTTCTATCTCGAAAATGCAAAAGTGACTCTACAAAATGTCGGTCAGAACCTCTGGGAGCTTAGTTTAATAATGTTCTTTTCCTAATTTAGAATTTCTCTTTTCTCATGGGTAAAATTAGAATTTTTGCTTAAACCTAAGAGAAATTATATGATTTTTTAGTTTTCAAAGGTGGAAACCTTAACTATAATCCTACATTTAAAAAATTTCTGGGGGAGGAGGGACGTAGAAGGGGTAAAAGGGGTCAAATATGGGGTGACAGAAAGAAATCTAACTATGGGCAGTGAACACACAATGCAATAAATATGCCTTACTGCTAAATTGTGCATCTAAAACTTACTGGATTTCATTAACCAATGTCACCATAAAAAAGAAAAAATTCTTAGTTATCTAAATACAGCAGTTTGTGAACATGGCTGGCTTAACTTCTTTCTTCTGACATGAGAAAGGATGGGAAAAATGTCAAAGGTGCTCACGTATTACCTAGCTCGTTTTCATGAACTCTTCCAAGACATAGCTGAAACATACATGTTTTCTAAGTTTTACCTGGACCAGGTTTCCTTTAATTCTGTCTCGATGGTTAGAATCCGAGTCTGTGTGGAACGCTTTTGTCACATTACTAAACAACAGTCTCCACCTTTTCCTGCAATGGTATCCCTTCTCATTTTGCAGGTTGAGAAGCTGACAATCTCTGCCCCAGCACTTTGAGATTCCTTTATCAGTTTGTAGGTGGTTTCAGAGTTTATGAAACACTGTAATGGAGCTCACTAAGCCGCTAACAGAGTACTGAAGCAACTGATCCCTGCTAGAAATTGCTGGGGTAGCTCCTGCTTTTGCTATCTTCCCTTCTGTAACATTAAAGTAAAAATTGTGTGTTCTGCTCCTTTAGAATGCTTGAAAGGGGAAAAAACAAACCTTCATCTCAGTGTAAGTAAGTTATGCATACATCTTTGGCAACTGGGTATTTTCACTGTAGGAATGCCAGCGTCTCTTCCCTTTAAACGATGCTGAAGCCAGGACAGTTGTGTCCTTATCTGAACTTTACCAAGTTAGTAAAATGTCAGCGAGTTGGAAGGGACCTTAAATGATCTAGTCTAAACTCCTCACCCTACGCAGGAGTACCCGATGTACAATAAATATAGTCACAAGGTGACTGCCTAGGACATCTTTTTAAAAGCAGTATCATAAAACAGAGAAACCAACCAAAATCCTCCAAATTTTGATTCCACAAGAGTGGAGAATTCTTAGCACAGGTAACTAACACCCATACTACTAAGAATTATTACCTGTCAAGTAGCATAACAGAAATTAGAATTACTTTCTAGAATTAGGTCTCTACGGTTTATCAATCTTTTTGCTGTGCTATGTTTTTCTTTTTCCAGTCCAAGGATATATCTGAACATTAAACATGAAAAACTGGAATCGATGATCTTGAAAAGGACCTTAAAATGTAAAATGATGTTTAAACCTTATTCATTAAATAATCAGGTTCAATATGTCTAGAAACATCATTTACCATCCATTTAAGAATTAAAAAGCAAATGAACTGGAGCTTGTATTTAAAAAGGAAACAGATGGCTGCCATTACAGGGAGTAGAAAAGATTCCATAAGGGTGACAGCTACTTCTACTTCTGAGGATATACTAGAAACTTTTAAATGTAAGCTACAGTTCAGCAGCTTTAAAATTTCATGTTTATTCATATTTTTCAAAATATATGTACATAAAAAAAGGAAGATTTACAACAGGAAAGATTGCCTTCCATGCAACACAAATTCCAATGAACTCATGATGGGATCACACATAATTATGAATCTTATTCAAGCCAATCTTCTCAAGTCCATTTCCCAGCCACACTTTAGGCTGCAGACGGGATCCCAGGAGACAATGCAAGTGGAATGAATGAAACAAACATCTTTTGCTTCTGGCAGCACTCAGAGAGCCAGAAAATGTACACCAGAAAGTTTAAGACAATTAAAATGTCAAGTGCCACAGGGAGGATAATTGATAACCAGAAATCAGTATTTCTCAAGTAGAAAGCCAGTACTATTTAACACAACTTCACAATACTAAAACAAATACAAATTAGAGGTTAGGTAGTCGGGCTTACTTTCCTTTTTTCCTTTTCGCTTTTTTTAAATATCTCAAAAAGGAAGCCACTTGTTTGATCGCAAAAGTGCTGTGGAAAGAGAGGGGAGAAGAACCCACAGATGATCTGGAATCTAGTTTATTTTCGCAAATTTTATGTTTTTCCATTTAACATTCCTACATTAGCAATGATGTAACTCTCCAACATTTCCTCATAAAAAAAGGCAAACGAGAAGTGATAACTCATGCTCCAAATATTAAAAAATATATTTAAACATTTGGTCAAGATTTTATGTTTTGATTTTTGCTAACACAGGTGACACCAGAAATCACAAATTCAATATATTCTTATATTTCCCCTTCAGTCAAAAACGAAGCTGTGGAGAGAACTTGTGCTTGCTGTTAAGGGAATGCAATGCCCTGGGCCAGTGAACAATACTGGAAGTGATCAATGTGAAAAGTGGCCCAAAGAAGTTGTTCATCTTCGGAATCTAACGAGATCATGTTTTTGGCTTGCTCCCAAAGCTACGACATCTCTGCATTTATAGTTAGAGAGAAAGGGTTAGTGGAGTGGTTTTATAAATAAGATTAATTATGATAGCTATAACTGAAGTCTCCAGGCAGAAGGCTTTACAATTCAGTCAGTGCCTCCTTTTTACTTCCAGCATCTGACCAACATCCTGTTCTTGATGCTTTCTACAAATATAAAAACCTTTGCAACTGTTTAGATAAAACCGGAAGGGGAAAAAAAAGCCAAGGCTGACCATAAACAAACAAACAAACAAACAAACAAACAAACAAACAAAAAGAGGGTTGGGGTGGAGGGAGAAAAATAGACATGTATAGATTATACAGTTCAGGCAAGTCCAGAATTATCGCAGAAAATGAAATGACCGAGGGAAGGGGCAGACACCAAGAATAGTGCCAAAAGCTAACGAATGCCTAAACTGGTTTATTTATATTCCCTCCTCACAATGTTCTGAGGGGAAGGAAAAAATATAATTTTAAAAGCATCAAAACTAAAACAAATGCACACTGACCTTATAAAATAAGATTTTAAATTTCATCATGATACCCTTTTTTCCCTATAAAATTTACTTTTTTGCTTTGAAAGATTTCTTCATGGTAGATTTGCCCTTGCCAGGCAATTTCACTTCCTTTCTCACACTGGCCGCAGGCTTCTTTGAAGAGCCACCACTAGGTTTCTTGATGACTGAGGGTGAGGGTCTAGCTTTCTTGGCAGGAGTTTTGGCCTTAGGAGAGGCTTTCTTGGGCAGGGGCCTAGCTTTCCCCCGCTGGGCAGCTGGGACTTTCGGTAGAGGCTTGGACCCTCTCTGCTTCATGGATGCAGCCTTCCCTGATGACTTGGCTGGGGTTTTCTTTTGTAACCTGTGAGAACCAAAGAGCAAAGGTGGTCACTTAGCAACTGAGGCTTTACTAAAATTGTATAAAATTCAACCAATTCATAGACGTCTATACATAATTTCACGTTTTTCCTAATTTTCCTTCTTGGAAATTCAGGAGACAAGTTCAAATGTTACACAAAGAACTTGAGAAGGATCTTGAGTTAAAACTTTTCACAGCCTCTCCCATTATTGCTGTTTTCAGCTCTTAGTTTTTTTCACACAACCACACCTCTTAGGTGGAGGCTCTTCATCCTCAGAGTCTTCTTCTGATGAGTCATCTTCATCTTCATCCTCATCTTTAGAATCATCTGGCTCTTTCTTTGGAAATAGAACTCCTGGGCTATAAAAAGAAGAAAAAAAAGATTAGGTAAAAGGGAAGTGCTATACAGAAGGAAACTAATGGGAATGTAACACTCTTCCCTGAACATTCCCACTTCCCTCAGCTTCCCCCAAAAAATGTCAAGCGGGGTTACAAATATCAAGTTATAATTTAACCTATGTTGAACACACATCCAAAGTATAACAAATCTATGAAAGTTCTAGCCCATTCCTCATTCCTTTTCTCTTTCCATTTAATAAAAATGATTCTTAATCATTTAACATTTTATGTGTATGACTTTAACAATTAAAGTTTAATGTCTGAAAAATGCAAATGTGCATTCAACCAAGTAACACTTATGCTTGTATACAAAGAACAAGAATAAGAAAGCTACACTATATTCCTGCTAAAACAGGGTTTTAGTGGTACATGTCATGACACCTTACTAGAAATGAAAGTATAAAAAGGCTATAGTATGGGTGCACAGAATCATGCTTGGCCCATAGGAGCCGCTCAATCATTTTTTTTGATTCAACGAACAGGGCATGTATAAGACAGGTTTTCAAGTAAATGTCTCTGACTCTACAGTATGAAGAAGGCAGTTTAGGATTCCTAGAAGCAGCCAATGC